ATCCATTGTCACTGATAATGCTTCCAATCTAAACAGTGATCTGATGAAAGCTATGTGTGAAACTTTCAAAATCAAGCACAAGAATTCCACAGCCTACAAACCTCAGATGAATGGAGCCATAGAAGCCGCCAATAGAAACATTAAGAATATACTAAGGAAGATGGTAGAGAATCACAAGTAGTGGCACGAAAAGCTACCCTTTGCTTTGTTGGCTTACCGCACTACAGTTCGCACATCAACTAGGGCAACTCCCTACAGGTTGGTTTATGGTACTGAGGCTGCCATCCCAGCCGAGGTGAAGATTCCTTCTTTAAGAGTCATACAGGAAGCTGAACTCAATGATGCAGAGTGGATAAGGAGTCACTATGAATAATTGTCCCTTATTGATGGAAAGAGGATGAACGTAGTATGTCATGGCCAACTTTATCAGAACAGAATGTCCAGAGCTTTCAACAAAAGAGTCAAACCAAGACAGTTCGCGCTAGGGCAACTGGTATTGAAGAAAATATTCCCACATCAAGATGAGGCCAAAGGGAAATTCTCTCCCAACTGGCAAGGTCCATACATGGTTCACAGAGTACTAACAGGAGGAGCACTCGCAGAAATGGACGGAGAAGTCTGGCCAAAATCGATAAATTCAGACGCGGTCAAGAGATACTATGCTTAGATACTTTACATTTTCTCATTTGATGTAATTGAACTATGCTTGACCTGATTCCCGTTTAAGAGGGGATACGTAGGCATCCTTATGGGTTCGGTCATATCATAATAAAATTTTCATTTCCCCCAAGAGCAGAACTGGGCAGAATTTTGAGGAGGACCCTCCAAATTCCGGAGTAAGTCCAGTCAATGACAACATGTGTCAAATGGTCAGTAATCAGTTAAGAAACTGGGGTAGAATTTTGAGAAGGATTCTCAAAATTCCGAAGAAGGTTCAGCAAGATCCATTATCCGCAAACAACCGAAGGATCATCTACTAAACTTGGGCAGAATTTTGAGGAGGACCCTCAAAATTCCGACATAAGAGAGCTGCAATGTCTTTAAGATGTGTTACAGTCACTAGTTCATCTATTTTTTCTGAAATAACTCTATTTTTATCAACAATTGCGTATTTTTCGAAAAACTCTATTTCCATAACAGTCAGGTGTTACCTAGGGGAACTCGAAAGGGGATTTCAGAATGGAGGATAGCAAGGCCAGCAGACAAAGCCCGAACCAACCTCCCCCTCACAAAACTTACAATTTTTCTTTGAACGCAGGCACATTTGACGTAACAATAGCACTCGCAAAACATGTATACACAAAGATAATTCACTATCAATCAGGTCATCAGACATCGAATATGTCTCCAGCTAAGACATATGCTACTTTTACTTACTACTTTCTCTCTGCATGAGGCTAATCCTTGCCTCCATATTTGCATGAGGCTAACTCCTGCCTCCATATCTGCATGAGTCTAATCCTTGACTCCATGAGGCTAATCTCTGCCTCCATACTTATATGAGGCTAATCCTTGCCTCCATAACTGCATGAGGCTAATCCTTGCCTCCATACCTGCATGAGTCCAATCCTTGACTCCATGAGGCTAATCCCCGCCTCCACACTTGCATGAGGCTAATCCTTGCCCCCATACCTGCATGAGGTTAATCCTTGCCTCCCATTTGCATGAGTCTAATCCTTGACTCCCTATTTGCATGAGGCTAATCCTTGCCTCCCTACTTGCATGAGTCTAATCCTTGACTCTCTATCTATATGAGTCTAATCCTTGACTCCATACCTGCACAAGGATAATCCTTGCCTCCCATTTGCATGAGTCTAATCCTTGACTCCCTATTTGCATGAGGCTAATCCTTGCCTCCCTACTTGCATGAGTCTAATCCTTGACTCTCTATCTATATGAGTCTAATCCTTGACTCCATACCTGCACAAGGATAATCCTTGCCTCCCATTTGCATGAGTTTAATCCTGACTCCCTATTTACATGAGGTTAATCCTTGCCTCCCTACTTGCATGATTCTAATCCTTGACTCCCTATCTACATGAGTCTAATCCTTGACTCCTTATCTGCATGAGGCTAATCCTTGCCTCCATATTTGCATGAGTCTAATCCTTGACTCCATATTTGCATGAGGCTAATCCTTGCCTCCACATTTGCATAAGGATCCCTGCCTCCATATTTGCATGAGTCTAATCCTTGACTCCGCATTTGCATGAGGCTAATCCCTGCCTCCATACTTGCATGAGGCTAATCCTTGCCTCTATACTTGTATGAGTCTAATCCTTGACTCCCTATCTGCATGAGGCTAATTCTTGCCTCCCTACTTGCATGAGTCTAATCCTTGACTCCCTATCTGCATGAGGCTAATTCTTGCCTCCCTACTTGCATGAGTCTAATCCTTGACTCCATACTTGCATGAGGCTAATCCCTACCTCCATACCTACATGAGGCTAATCCCTGCCTCCTAACTTGCACGGGACTAAGCATTGTCCCTCTTTGCATAGATATTGCTCTATTTTACTAGTTATTTGCTTTCCAATCGGGCTAAGCTCTACCCTCCATTTCACAAGACTAATCATTGTCTTGATGACATTATGACTATTGCACATCATGGGTTGAAATATCTCCAACCTATCCAAAGGTGGCATAGTCTAAAAGGCATCATCCTCATAGACGGAAGACATCATGCCATGACCTGAGAATCTCTCAAATCTGCATATCATTATTCAAAGGCGTCATGGTTCGGAGGCACCATCTTCATGGCCCGAGAACATCATTTCATGGTCTGCGAATCCATCACTAAATAATGCATGGCCCAGGACGTCATGGTCTGAGGACGTCATTTTTAACCATCCGAAGACAACCTTCATGGTCCAAAGGGAATTTGCATCATGTTTAAATTTTTTGCAAGTGCACGTTTGGAGCATCCTTTTATCTGCAGGTAACCGCTATCCTAGCAGGAGCGATCTCGCTCCAATTCCCTCCAATTATCCCGAACCCTAACCGCTCACCGTAGCCACTTCCGCATTGCCTGTCCGTTCTTGCAGTAATTTCATCGACATATTCCGCAGATGAATTCAGAACTACACATGGTCTGATTCCTGTAAAACCAGGGACGTGTAGGCAACTCGAAAACTGGAGCCCAAGCCCTGTCTTTCAAAGCATCCCGTCCGGTCAAAATTGGTCATCATTTCTTTACCCGAAAACTCTTTCATCCTTCCCGGGTAAAGAGGGGCGGTTGTTGATACCCAATTTTTTCCTATATTTTTTATATGCATAAATACCTTCAAAATAGCATATATATGCATATATAAGCATGCACAAGGTTTTTATAGTTTTTTCCATAATTTTAAGGATTTAAATTGATTTATTTCCTTCCCTTTTATTCATAAAATTCCCAATAATTATCTCTCAAATTATTTTTGTGGTGATTTAGTTATTTAATTTCTATATTTATGCCAAAATATGATTAAAATATTGTTTATGTATTTTATAATTGTATTTTTATATTTTTAAAGCTAAATTGCATATAATTGCAATATTAGCCTCATTAATGTATAATTACATTTATATGCGTATAATTGATCTCCTATATTTTAAAAATGTTAAATATCTATTTTAAATCATTTTAGTACATGAATTATTTTGTTGTTGTAAGGTCTAGGGTAGGGGTAAGGTCTGCGTACACACTACTCTCCCAGACCCCACTAAGTGGGATTATACTGGGTTGTTGTTGTTGTTGTTGTTTAGTACATGAAATTATTTTTTAGAAATTATTTATCATTTATTATAAATTATATAGGGAAAATTGGCTATTTAAAATATAGCCAGCTTTGCATTTCAATTATAGCCCAATTTAAACCCAATCCCAGCTCAATTTCAGATTAAAAACACCCGGCCCAATCCCTGAACCCTCCTACCCGACCCAAAGCCATATTAAATCCTGGTCGTTGATCTAAAAGATCAACAACTCTCGTCCGTTCTTACCATTTTTAATTCCGAACGACCCTAACCCTAGCTCATTATTCAGAGACTGCCGCCTCTGTATTCTCTCATCTCCTCTCCTCTCTCAACCACTCAACCTAACCCTAGCTCATTCAACCTCTGACTTTCTTCTTCGGTGATCTCCCTTTAACTCCTAAACCTTCAATGGCTCCTCTATTGCCATGCTCTCCTTCCCTAAGGTCCTCAAGGGCCCTGGGGCACGCCGACTTGCATCTAAAGTTTTCCATCTGGTCTGTTCTTGGCTACTTTCGTATGATTTCGAGTAGAATCATGTTGTACTTGTTACGATCCTTGAGATTTTAGACAGGTTCTTTCATCTCTATTTAGGTTTCTTCTGAAACCCTAATTTTGCTTACATCTCCTAGATCTGTACGATTTTTAAATGATTTGAGTCTGTTTCTTTGATGTTTTACACTATCCTTGTAACTCTTTACAAGAATAATCGATTTCAAAGTGTTTTCACCTTCTTCTAAAATTAGGATTTTCGGAACTTCTTCTAAAACCTTGTTTAAACCGATTCTTTATGTTTAAACTTCTATATCTTGCATATTTAGACTGATTCTATAATTTTACTACCTATTCAACTTGCCTATGTTGGAAGCCCTAATTTTTCTAGGTTTCTTCGTTTGATTTTGTGACTAGCCTGTTCTTATTTGAGTTTCTGTGACTATTTCACTTCGAATATGTTTTCTACTGAGTTTCTTATGCCTAACTTATATCATTTGTGTATGTTTTCATCTTGATTGTTCATACTTGCCTTTTTCTATCGATACTGCTTAACCTGTATGTTTGCTATGACTGGTTATTCTTATTTTACTCTATTTATATACTACAAAAAACTTGGCTTTTAATGACCACTTCTTAACCGAAGGGAGGTAGATCCGGTCGTTATAAGTATACTTTTAAAGACCAACAATATTTCCTGTCGTTGATGACGCTTTTTAATTCTACAATAATAAAAGAATAATATCCGGTCGTTAATGGCTATGATGAATTGGCAGACATATCCAAAATAAAAGCGCGCCACCACTGTCCACTAAATTTTTAGTTCTTTTCTTTCACTCTATTGAAAGAACCCTAAGCCCCAAATTGCAAAATAAGGATGGCCGTAACTCGCTGTAAATCATTGTTGATTTCGTTCGTCTTTGCCTCAATAATAGCAACGAGATCCGAATCTTATCATCTCCAGAAGCGCTTCAATTATTGGAATTTAGCTTAGGTTATCTTCTTCAGTTGGATTCCTGGTTATTTTTCTCTCTCTGCAGTAACCCTTATTATCAATTTCTCATTCCTGGTATTTGCTCAGCATCGGATTTTGTTGCTAAAAATCCTTGGTATATTATTGAAGATTCTATATCTAGGGACGCCCAAGATGGGAAAGAGATTAAGCCAAGCCGAAAATCGCTAACGCCTTCCTCTCGATCTCAAAATTAGTCTTTATCCTCTCAAGGTTACTCTTTCTTTCTCTTTTTTATTTTATTTTATCTTTTGTGAATTACACCTTCTTATTTAGTTTCATCAAGTCTGTGCGAATCTGAAATGTATGTTCCTCTTTGTCGATTTGTCTTGTACATGAGTAGGTATTTCTATTTTATTTCCTTAGTACACGATGTTGTATTATGCAATTCAATAAATTTTGTACTGTGTGGCTACTTTCTTGAATTTTTGGGAGATGGCAAGATCTAACTTATGCAAAAATGATTGTTAATGACTCAGAAAATTTAGTTCAGACGTTGTAGCAATTTTGAGTAGAGAAGGAGATTGTATGAGCTCAGAGAAAACATTTAACGATGATGCAGATGGAATGTTAATGAATAGAAGAAAGAATAGCTATCCTTAAGGCAACATTAGAACTCTTTGTGGTAGCTTCTCAAATGGATTGACAATTTCACATTGAGGATCATATTTATGAATTATCCAATGGGTGGAGTATGATCCAATGAGGGGATTTAATTTCAGTGCCCAAAAAGAGGGGACACAGTATACCCTCCTAATGCAAGCAATCATGATATTAGTTCCGATCTATTTTGGTTCTATAATGTCCTTCTACATTAACTTATTTAAATATGTGAAGCCTTTATTGTAATCATAGAATCCTTGACCTTATAAAAGGATTCTTGACTTTGAAACATAACTTAATCTTTATTCTTCATGGCAATCTTAAAAAGTGAAAGAACGAAATTGGGAGAATATCTTTCAACTCACAAGTTGCATACTTTCATTGGACCTTTGTTCCTTTTAATTTTTTTTTTTTAAAAATTGTGATGCATTAGTTAGGTGTGTACTGACTTTTTAAAGTATTAAGAAAAGCCATAGAAAATTAATTATCAATTAAAGAATTTTTCCTGGTGATCTTCCAAAATGTTTACCTCTTCTTTATATATTTTTGAATATTCTCATTTCTAACGGTTGTAGATTACAGTTGAAGATCTAGCGAAACATAAACTCGCACTTTCATAATTGAGGGAGGGAATTTATGATATCACTGTTTTGGCATAGCCATTAGGAATGGTACTTACTGACACCATGAGAAAATTGATAATTTACTTTAATGCTTGGATGGTCAGATGGATCTTGAGGACTTATTAACCTTACATCCAGGTAGATACATGTCAGCACTAAAGTAGACGCTTCATTAAAACTTTTCATTCTCAGAACTTGTGTCGTTCTCAGTTTTAATTTTTTACTTCTAAAAGAAATTGATTTTCATGTCACATATGAAGAGTCTAATAGTTGGTTGTGAAGTCTAATAAGGTAGAGTGAAACTCCCATTTTACTGTTCTGCTTCATTTCAGCGATGCCATTTCTCTTCTTAAATTTCCTTTTTCTTTTTCACCAAGAGAACTTTGAGAAAACACCACACTACGGGATGCTCTTCTTATCTCAAAAGATGATTTGTCATCAATTAACTTTCTCTTGCAAAAATAATCTGGAGCTTCTACTTTGACCGAAATTTCCTGAGAAAATATATATTTACTGTTTAATATATATATATATATATATATTAGATTTTCTGATATTAGTACCTATTATTCAGTTATATATACAGGTCAGCTCTGTTGGCCAGTTCAATTGTATTTAATTTACAAGAAGCTAGATAAGATACTATATCAGTCCTTAGCAGCATCCTGATATTGGTTTTGGAACATATATGTTGCTGCTTTATATTGCAGTAATCAATAATTAGGTGGTAAGGTTTGAAATTGACCTTTTGGCCAATAATAGAAGCTTTAGTTCAAGGATTCAATATACATTATATGGAACTGTTGGCTTCAGCACACATTAGTTCTCGACTGAACAAATCCACAATGTAAGTTATGTTAAAGTATCACATTAAGTCTTTCTATACCTTTATGATTAATAGAAAATGCACCACTTCTCTATGTGATTAGCTACTCTTTTTTTTTTTTTTTATGTTATCACATTTATAAATCAGAGACAATACATAAATATTAGCAGGATTTTTGGAATTTGCGTTGGTTCTTGCAGAAGCATTCGACTCTTCAAATGAGGCTAAACTGAAAACCAATATATAGCTTTGTTTTGTATCTTACTTGGAGAGAGTTTGAAAAGGAATTGAAGTTGTTGTGAGTTAAATTCTTCCAATCGTTCCACTTTCCAATTTTAGGAAAATAATGATGCCTCAAATTGACACATGGATGTGGATCAAGTTTCAATTATTTCATGCATGTAAATTCTTGCTTTCATGATCAAATATCAATCAAATTCTGCTTCTGAATGATTTGTGTGGCCTTTTGTACATTTTGATATAGAGTTGGTCATCTTTTCTTTTGACTATACGTTAAAGAAATTTTGTATCTTTTGCTTTGACGTAGGAGTCAATTACAGGTTGCTCTGCTTACTGTACTACTTACTGCTTAATGACTCAAATTGATACATGTTATATAGTGGTTTGGTTTTATATGTGATAGTTCTGTTAGGCAATCTGATAAGAAAGTACTACTTAGACTGCAACCTGTATCTTGAAAATGCCCTACATAGGTCTAAGCAGATATATTGTTATCTGTTCGAGGATCTTCTGTTGGAATAGGTTTGTAAATACAACTTCTCTATAGCATTTGTTGTGAAATGATTGATAGAGATGGAGCATTTTTTATGGATGAACAAGATCAGATATTTTTGTGAGAGTCAGAAAGAAAAATTATACCGTTGCCTTTATGCATCTTAAAATTGTGCAATTTAATGTTGAGAACTCCAATTGCCACTTCACCAATTTTGTTTTGTTTTTTTAGTTCTTGTTCACTCCCTGTATCTCTTTCATGGATTTTAGCTTGCATATTTTCTCTTCAGCTGTCTTGACAGCTAGATTGGTTTTTCCCTATTATGGGCATTCAAAGAATAGAGGTAACATATAGAAGAAATGAACCCGATTTCACGTGCAAGATTGTCAAGATCCTCAAGCCTAAACTTTGAGCAAGTTCATGCCTAATTTATTTCTATTGCTATTGTGGCTTATTATAAACATATGGTATTTTCAAATGTTTTTTTAAGTAAATTATTGTTGTGCTCCCATGGATGTAAATAATGTATCATATGGTAACCATAGATGAATAATATCCAGCAATATTATCAATATCTTTTGTAATCATTACATGCATCTATTTCTCTTTTTCCCATTTCATTTCAAAACAAAGTTATACAATGTTTTTTATATCTAATTTGGTATTCATTCACGTGCATCTACTTTTCTTATTTGTCATTCAGTTCCAACTTTACAGTATTGGGGCCATGCTGGCACGGGCTAGCGCCACCTAGTACTACAAATAAATTTGAGACTTGCTTGGCTGACATTTAGTTCTTTCTTTTTCTTGGTTAACTGCAGTCAGTTATGCAAAGTTGGGGCATTGGACCCTAAGAAGGTAAAGGGAACTATTTTAGTTTGTCTAAGAGGAGATAATGCAAAGGTTGACAAGGGACAGCAAGCTGCTTTGGCATGTGCACAGTTGGAATGGTTCTACCCAACGATTATGCATCTGGCGATGAAATTATTGTTGATCCTCACGTCTTACCTGCTACGCAAATTAGTTACACTGATGGACTTGAACTCTTCGCTTATGTTAATTCAACAAGGTATAACAATCTATGAATGGATTTAACTTGTATACACTAACGGTTTAGACAATGTTTGACTATGCCACTTCATTTTCTTGTTAAATGTTTTATGCAGTACACCTACAGCTTCCATTACACATCCAACGACTCAATTGGGAACAAAGCCAGCTCCAGTCATGGAAGCCTTTTCATCAATAGGACCTAACACTGTTACACCAGAGATCCTTAAGGTTTTACACTGGTTCATGATTTTTTCACTAAAGTGACATGACTTCTTCCCTTAACAGATCAGGAACTTGAAGTCTGAAGAAGCTATGCTTGAAGAATGTGTGGAGCAAGTTGAAGCACAATATAGTTTTTGTTCAGTTAGCAGTGATTTAAAGATTTTGTCATTTGTACATCGTGCTACAGTTCTAGTGTCTGTTTTTAGGAGTTGATAAAAATAGTTTCATGCAATTTGGATGGTTATATTTATAGACATTGTGATCCTTCGGTTCTTTGTAATGAAAAATGAAATTTTGTTGAGTATGAATTTTGATTATTTGGTATATTTTTAGTTGTTATATATATGTGTGAGAGAAAGCATATGGTAATGATTATTATTGGATAACTACAAAAAATAATATAAATTGGTGTAATTAGATTTATTAAAATTTCTCATCAACGAAGGGAAATGTGAAACTCTTTAATAACAGGATTATCAAATGGTTATAGGTGCATTAGTGAAGGGAAATTTGGATATTTGCGACGGGAACACTGGTCGCTAAATAAGAACAACGGTGGGAAGTTTTCTGGTCGTTAAAGGAATTTAACGACCGCATTCTAATCCGGCCGTTAACTTTTAACGACGGAGCCTTTAACGACCGGCGACGACCGGATTTTATTAGGTCGTTATTGACTTATAGCGACTGGATTTGAACTTTTAACGACTGCATTTCCCTTTGCTAAAAGCCAATTTTCTTGTAGTATGCTGAACTATGAATCATGACTTCCCCTTTGATTGATTTTGGATTTCCTATTTTATGGTTTGATTGAAAGACATTCCTTTAAACCCTCAATTTCTACCTCTTCTATTCAAATTAGCTGATTCGCCTACCTTGTTTGATGTGGTACTTTATTCTTACCAACTATTTCCTTAATTAAAAGTATTCTAAATTTAGCCCTAATTGTCTACCCTATACTTATTGAATTTGATTCTTTCCTTATTAGTCATACACTGATTTCTTTCCTTATATGCTACTTGTTCCTACCGTTTGAATTGATTCCCTTAACTTAAGGGAGTACTTGTCCTTATTTTGCTCTAGTTGGTTCTGAGTTCCATAATTATTATGTTACTATGATTCTGGCCTTGTTTTACCTAATTTTCGAACTACTATATATACACACTCTCTCATTAACACAAACACACAAACACTTTGATTCAAAAGTTCTCTCTCACACACTTAAACTTTCTGCTCTCTCTCTCTCTCTCTCTTGTGCTACTTGCTACTATTCTGAGTTAGCCGGCTGCAAGCCAAGGCTGACTATTGTGCTCTCCTACTCTTTCACTTTTGCTTACTGTCTTCTTTACTGGTATGTTCTAATTTCAGTTCAAGTTCCAAAAACAGTATGGTTCTTTTATTGCTTCAGTTCATCCCGTTTCTAGTTTGCTTTTACTTATGGTTCTGCTGTGAAACCTGCAGTTAATATAATTACCTGATTAGCATGGCATATACTCCCCTTTCTTAAGATCAATGTAGACATGTTACCCCCCTATGTCTGATCAATTGTTTCTGAGCATGTCTGTACCAATTATATCTGCCTGTTATGTGTTTATCATCATGTGTTCCATGTATCCCCAATCCCTATCACCCCTGTATGTAGGTTTGTTCCTTATGTTTGGTTTTGTGCTCTTTAAGTATTGCTGATGTGGTTTTGGACTTCATGTTTGATTTACTATTGTCTAATCATGCAACTTTCTTTTCAAAATTGTTTTACTGCATGACTCCTTCTTTTTCTCCGCAAACTATTTCAAATAACCCTTCTCTTTTAATACAGTTTTCCCACTAAAACCTTTTAACTTGTGTCAAGCACTTTCACTCTACTCCTAAGTCAATAAGTTCCGCCACCTCCAGTATGTGTACTGCCTTGGGATCCTCTTGAGAACCCTCTGAACTCTGGCATACTGAGGCTGGCCCTTCACAATACACTTATTCAATTTGGTTACTAAGTCTAGGTGTAAGCACTGCCCGGGATCCTTGAGATCCTTAGAGAACTTTGATGCACCTAGACTATGACATTGTCTATGGAATTGAGGCATTTGAGGCTATTGGAGGCTTTGGAAATCTGGGCCTATCTGTAGGCTCCCTATAGAATAACTTCTTATTTACTTATGTAATTCATTCATATGGTCTGTAATAAATTGTAAACGAATATTGGGAACTAGTGAAAAAGAGTGAGTAGTTACATGTTTGTGGGGTAATACGGGTAGGAACCATGACTATAGGACTTTACAATTTGTGTGTTTGCCTTTATAAGTAGAAACCATGCCTATAGGACTTTTGTATCTTGTTATGTTAGAAATCATGTCTATAGGTCTCAATTGATTCCATAATAGAAATCATGTTTAATAAGTTTAAATCAGTTTCACAAGTAGATGTCATGCCTATAGGATATAATTCAATCCAGCCTCTGTTATAACCAGTGTTTACATGCTTCTCATTTGTCATCATGCCTGCAAGTCTCTGAAATCAGTATTAAAATTAGATATCATGCCTATAGGGAACAGTACTAGAAATTCTGCCTATAGATCTAAACTAGTTTGGCTTTAAATAAATTAATCCGGTTAACGATTAGCTCACTTCTAAATTTATTTAATTAAGTGGTTTATATTTCTCTGAAACGAGTTCTTTTAAAAACTGCCTTAATAAAAGAGTCCGTTTTAAACCTGCCTTATTCCACTCTATAAAATGTAGTCATCAGTATTTCGTGTACAGGCAAGCCTATAGGACGTTTTCAAATCTTGCAACTCTGAAATTATTTCCGTGACTTAGGTTATTCTAGTTTAACAGGTTTTAATAAAAAATCAATAGGCAATTGCTAGGGTCATTATTTCTGAGTTTATAAAGCAAACTGCCTGTTTTCTGTACATTCACTTAGACATCATGACTTAGGATACTATTTAACAAAAAGGCCTTTATTTGTATTTGATTCGTGCTATTTACATGCCTTTTCTGTGGAGGTAAATTGAGCCTCTTATTTGCTCCTTCTTGCTCTTATATGCTAAAGTCCTAATTGTTCTTGCCTATCGCCTTAGTATTTTCACCTTTAAAACCTTAGGGGTCTGTCTAGAACCACCTATAGGTAGAGGTCCTAAATCCCTCCATGACCATTAAGAAGGGACTAATAACATCACACAATAGAGATCGCTCACCAAACACTCGCTTTAAATGACCACTACGGGGATGAGAAGGGTAGATATGGGATATGATGACTACGCGCTAATGTCACGTGTAGCCCCTTATTGAGGAGTGTTTATCAGATATTGTGTGGGGTGATCCTATAGGCTAACCAACCTAGGACTCCTCCTTTTTTTCCAAAATTCCTTTTCTGTTTAAAACTTTGTTTTATACAACTTGTTCAAAAATCTTTATCTTACTATTTGAGTTATCCAACGTGCTTTACCTGTAACCTATTTGATTCAACTATTTATTTGTAATGGACTAATTTGTGAATATAAGTTCGGTCGGGACCACAGTTGTGAACCAAGAGGGGTGTCTAACACCTTCCCCTCGAGGTCATTTCGATCCCTTACCCTAATCTCTGGTAATGCAAACCAATCTAAGAGTTAATCACTCTAGGTGCCCTAACGCACCATATCTTGTTAGGTGGAGACTCTTCAAATACCTAGTTCTCAAAAGGAAAGGAGTTATCACACCTCATGAATGTCGAAACCCGAACCTCTCTCCGCGGAGGGGAAAAAAAGGGGGCGCGACAGTTAGTACTCTGATTATTAGCTTGACTAGAGGCCTTGGGTCGCCAGACCCATGTTCTATTGTTCTTAAACCTGCAATGGTTAGAGTTGTGACCATCTTTGCCACAATGAGAGAGATTTCTTATTCTAGATGTGAAATTATGAGGAGTTGACTAATTTGATATGAAGGAACTATGACTAGTGGATTTTCGCAACCCATTAAGTTGAAGTTCATTAACTTCATCTTGAAGCATGTCTCTTTCAATTTCACATACTTCTAATTTCAGTGCCCAGTCATTCTTTTCTCTTTGGATCTTTCAAAGTTCATTTAGAACTTTATCAATGTCTGCAAGAGCAATATCAATAAATTCTTAAAGTTCATTACAGTTAGGATATGTAGGAAGACATACCTCACTTGTTCTTTTGTCTGCCATGAGACCAAGCTCGCCTGAATCTTCATCACTATCTTCTTTGATGGCCATAAAACACATGTTGACAATTTCCTCATGATCATATTCTTCTTCATCACTCCATGCTCCAAAAGATTTCTTCTTCTGTAAATTTTTCCTTAGTTTCTTTTTCAGCTCAGGGCATTAAGCTTGAATGTGTTCATGTTTTCCACATTCATAGCATCTTCCATCATTTTTATCATTCTCATTATTCATCTTCCCCTTTCTGAAATTTGGTTTACCTATTTTGTTGGTTCTGTTTTTCCTCAACATGTTTGTTACGACTTTAGAGAGCATGGTTATATTCTAATCTTGTTCTCCTCCTCCTCATCCTCCTCCTCCTTCTTCTTCTTTTTCATTTTCTGATTCAGCTATGGTTGCTTTAAATGCAACTGTCTTCTTTTTTTCTTGCAGAACTTACATGTCTAAGTATATTTTCTCAAATCTAATTAGGTCACCTTTGAGTTCATCATAAGACATCTTGTCAAGATCCTGACATTTTAGAGCAATAACTTTTGGTTGCCAAATAATGGGAAGACTTTTTAGAATTTTTCTGACTTGTTCTCCACTTTCGATTGGCCTACCAAAGGATTTTAAGTCTCCAAGGATTCACCATCTTTCATTTGAAACAATTCATAATCACCAACTAGGATATTGATCATTGTTTTTTTCACTTTGTTTGTTCCTTCATATGTGGCTTCTAACTTGTCCCACATTTCTTTTGTAGTTTCAAAGCTTGAAATATTTTCATACTCTTCTCTGCTTATTACATTATACAGGAGATTTTTTGCCTTGGTATTCACTTGGATAACAACTGCTTGTTCTTCAGTGTACTCATCTAAATCAAGAGGATCAAATGATACTATGTCTCACCGTCTTTGTCCTTCTTTGGCGGAATTGGAAGATTTCCCAATTTGATCACACGCCACACCTCAATGTCATATGACATAGTATAGGTTTTTATCGAGGCCAACCCTGCACTACTATTAAGTAGCGAGAGAGGGTCGAAGCAGCTTTTACCCGATTAAGGTCGGGATCGATTTCCACAGGGAGCTAGAAGTTGGAGTCGGGTGTCTGTCTAAAGCGGAGTTGTGTATGTGTTCCAAATTGCACTTCTTAAAATTTTCGGGT